TTCTAAATTTTTTCACTCATTCCGTCACATCAATTTTTGGACGTATGCATGGAGCATTAAATGTAGATAAAAAAAATAACTAATTATACAGTTTGGTTGTAAATCACGAGACGAATCTTTTAAACCTAGTTAATCCATGATCGGACAAAGTTTGTCAAATACAAACGAAACGTGCTACAGTGTCCAGATTGTAAAAATTTACAATCTAAACAAAGCCTCAGATACCCCCTGATCAAAACACATAAATCAACACATAGAATTTTTTATTTTAATTATCATAATAACATTTTGTTCTATTATTAGTAGGCATAAGAACATTGTAGAGGCATATGTATACCAAGGATAGGAGCTATAGAAATTTCTAATCACCAAATGAAAACCACAATCTTTTTGTGGGGCCTACAAAAGATGAGACTGGAATAATAATTTTGGCCCCGTTCGCTGGTCTGAAACTTGGCTGAAAAACACTGTTCCGACTGATTTGTTGTGAGAGAAAAATACTGTTCGGCTGGTTTGGTGAACAGTAACTTGTGAGGGGATCAACTAGCTGGCTGGACGAGTCTAGACCAGCAAACACCACCTTTTTGTTGAGTTTTTTTTAGGAAAAAGTGTTCTTTATTGGCAAAGTATCCGATTACGGAGAAAGCACTGGGCCTGTCCAGAACAATTGGCTGCGGCTTGCAGCAATGGCTGCATCAGCACTGGGAACAATAATGTTGTGAGAATGTCCGTTTGGAGCTACAAGTGGCAACAGAAGCCAACATTCCCGTTTAGCCCTGTTTAGATCTTTTTCTCTAAGTTTTAAAAAATTTAGAGCACTTTAGTTTAGTTTTGAGATCTAAAGTTTTAATATGGGGTTGGTTAAAGCTTAGAGCTAACTTAAAATCATCTGTTTGAAAACTTTAGCTCTAAAGTTTAGAGGAGATGATGCAAGCCTTTAGCAGCCTGTTCGCTTGCTCGTAAACGATCGTAAATTTCCAGCCGGAAACAGTGTTTTTGTCTCACACCAAACCAGCCAGCAGTAAATAATCCACGATACGATACGGCCTCCCGAACAGGCTGTAGATTATTGTGGTTCCAGTGCTATCTGCTGACTAGGTCAGGAGTGGTTTAAATTCGCACCAGTTAGCCGCTGTCACTTGTACTATTTCCTGCAAACAGGCCACCATTCACCCTTCAGTGCAGCGTCAGCATACCAGCGGCTAGTGAATTTTCAAGGATGGAAACTTTGCGAGCGCACGGCTTGGTTAGCCTTTGGTTCTACTGGGATTTTGGAAATCTAGATAAAAAATCTTAAAATCTATAATTCCATCTAAACGGACTAGATTCTAGTTCATTTTAAAATACAGACACAAAATCTAATAAAAATATACTCCTATAAAAACTTTTGTCCAGATTTTTTTTAAATCCACCGGGATCCACACGGACCCTAGGTTGTACGTTACTGGCCTGTCTCATTTGGAGTGCATGTACGCAATCGTGCTGGTCCCGCGTGGTCCGTTTGTAATCGTGTGTGTTGGACGCACCTTTTCTTCGCCGATCCCTTAGGCGCCGTTCGGTTAGCCCCAATCCGGGTCATTCTTGGCCGGAACTCTTCCCACGTTATTTAAATTATTGAAGAAAACGGCGTCCGGGAATGTTCCCAACGAAACGAACGAGGCCTTAACGATCCCCAGCGCAAGTCGGCCTTGGTGCTCTCCTTCGCTTTGACCCCGTGAGCTGCGACTGGCCGGTGACACGCTGCTATTGGAACTTGGCAGCGACAGGGAATGCAGTATTCACGCCTTGTTTAGTTGGACCTTAAAGTCCAAAAAGTTGCTACAGTACCTGTCACATCAGATGTTTGCGGTCCGTGCATGGAGCATTAAAGGTAGACGAAAATAAAAACTAATTGCATAGTTTGGTGGAAAATTGCGAGACGAACGTTTTAAGCATAATTAATCCATATTTGAACACTATTTGCCAAATAAAAATAAACGTCCTACAGTAGCCCTAAAATCCAAATTCACCCAACTAAACAAGGCTCACTGCTCGACCGATCAACGATCTACGGAGTATCTTCACAGCTCACAAAGTCACACACAAGTGGGAAGACGGAGCTAGCCGAGCTGTGTGGGTACTCCTCCCGTGCATGACAGCAGTCCAAGTTCCAGGACGTTCTCGACCGGAACCGTTGACGGCGCCGTGTGAGATGGGATCCTCCCCACAGGGATCTCGTCTGCCAGTGCCAGCGCCGCATTCACCAGGAGTCGACCAGGTTCACCGAACACACGCCTTGTTGTTTAGGTTTGTTTGGTTTATAAGTCATGGTTGAAAGTATCGTTAACTGATTTGGTATGAGAAGAAAATATTATTTGTTGGTTAATAAGTTATGGTTTATAAACTAAATAAAAGCAACGAACATGCTCAGTTAGACAGCCCCACGCGGTGTACTCTACTCCTAGGACTGTAGAAGCACTTGGTCCGCTGTCACGTGTGTTCTGCTAGGACTACCCGTAATGTTCCCGTTCGAGCGTGTGAAACTGCCGTCTCGCGCTTGAGTCGGGCGGGATGCGGGTCGGTTGGATGGAGCCCCACCCCCACTGGCTGGCCGCCGTCACGGGGCAGCAACAGCAGCGTCCCCACGCGTCGCGTCAGCTTTGATCTTTCTGCTGCCGCTTTGCCTTTTTCTGGAAGCATCGGCGCGCGCATGTACAGCAACTGCCGGCCTCCCTCCTCGGCGTCCGCTCCCGGAACCCGGATACGGTTATCTGCCACCGGCGCAGCTATCAACGGGGCGGTGCAAGAAAGTCCGCTTATCATCATCACAGCTGTCCCGGGATGATCATCACTCGCCGGTTTTTCTGGAAGACCAGCCGCGGGCGGTTTGTTTATTGCAGCCGTGCCAGGTTAGGCCCGGTTCGCTTCTTAAAAAAAAAAAAGATAAAATATTGTTCTAGCTGATTTGCTGTGAAAGAAAAATACTATTCTGACTAAAAACATAAGCTAAAAAGTATGAATTATAAGAGAAACGAACAGAGCTGTAGCATCAAAGCCCTCCTCTCGTGTGAATAGTGGTCTACGCGCGTTAGTACATATTTTTCTACAGATCTCCTGTGCGTCTACTCCACCTCACTCTGGCTGTGGCCGTGCTCGTACGCAGAGAGCTGCCATGCATCGCAAAAGGTCCGCCTTAGGGCCTGTTCGTTTGAACTTGTCAGCCGACTTATCAACTAGAATCTACAATATTTTTTTTTCACGATAAAACAGTTTCAGCCGGATTATTAGGCCCGGCCTCCGGTCAGTTCCCGTGGAGCATGTGTCCGCCGTTGCCACCACACAGCTTTTGCACACGTCCAAGCTGTTGTTCGTACTACAGACTACAGACTACAGTACGGGTTAGAAATCATTCACCGTATTTTGCGTTCAACAACGTGGTACCGCCCTTGTTGCCGTATCGCCTGATCGCCATATCATTGTACTAGCACATATGCTAGCTAATTTCCGATTTTTCAAACCCTATACAAATCATTTAATGCAAGTTTAGATCGTACGCATTCAAAAAGAAAATTAACATTGAAGGAACAATAATGCCGTCCATGCATTCATCAGGAAGTGTCCTTGTGCTCTCAAAACAACTGAAGACATGAATCGGATGCTCATGTTATCAACAGTTAGGAACACATATTTTTAGAGCCCGTTTACATCACTTGGCGTTTGCAAAAAAAAAAAAAAAGCACTCATAGATTGTGGATTGAAAAAGTTGAATAAGTCTGTCGATTATGGATTGTAAAGGTTGGCACATGTACTAGAGTGTTATGATCCTTAATCAAACTGAACGAGACTAGATTTTGGGATTAATAAAAATTAACATGTACTAGATTGTCAGAGTTGTTTCAACAAGTTGTCCAAATAGAGGCCCATGCTAAAGTTCTTAATGAGCCTAGACTTTGAATACATGAACCTCATGCTACATGGTTAAAGAAAAGAACATGACCAAGTATTTGGATTTCCTCCTATTTCCAATTGATACACTTGGGTGGCTACCAAAAGGATCTTCCGTAGTTCATATGTCACGCAGTATTAGACATGTGTGCATGTGGTAAAGTATAGCAACTGGATGGATGATTTATAAAGAAGTACGAGTACTTATATACATGGTCGATGTGTCACGGAATTTGACGTTTAGGATAGGGAATGAAGCTACCGTGTTCTTGTATGGATCAATCTGCCTAGTCACGCACACGCAGTCACATAGAAAAGTGCACGAAGTTAGGGTCCGTTTGGTTCGTACCCAAACTTTGCCGCACCGCGCCGCACCTTCCGCGCCGCAAGTTTGGCGTGTGTTTAGTTTGCTGCGGCAGTTGCGGCATTCCGCGGCCTCGCCATCGCGTGTCAGTGCATTTTTGCTGCCAAAACATGCCGTAAGTGCGGCGAACGAAATTGGCGCCGCAAGTTTGGCGCCACCGCAGCTCTGGCGTGGCATGCACCGGCTGCGAACCAAACGGACCCTTACTCTCTTACAGTGATAGATGCAACAACCTATCACCAAAAACCCGGTCCACACACACCTGTCAGGAACCAACAATTTTCCCCGAACTTGTAAACCGGACACGGATGAAAAAAAAAACAAGAACGACAAGTCAAATCAACCAATTCGTTTTATCGTAGTATAGTGTTTTTTTCTCCCAGCAAATCAGCTGTCAGTCGACTCAGCGAACTTGCACCTCACGGGATAACCACCGTAGACTCCTCCGCGCCTCATCCCCACCCTCACCTCACCCCACCCCACACGCGCTGACGCGCTTTCACCGCACCAAAGCGTTGTGACTCGTGAGCTGCTACTTAACCTAACCCCACCGCCAAACAATTCCCCATTCCTGATTCCAACCAGCCCATTCGAGTACACACGGAGTGAGGGGAAGCCAAGAACAAGCAGCGATAGTCGTCTCTCGCGCTCGTGGGTGTGGAGAGAGAGAGAGAGGAAAGGTCGGATTTAGTTTTACGGCTGCTGAGGAGAGATGTTGAGGGCGGTGGCGAGGTGCTGCGGCCACTGGCCGCCGGGCGCCGCGGCGGCGGACGGGATGCTGTGGCAGACGGAGCTGCGGCCGCACGCGGCGGGGGAGTTCTCGATGGCCGCGGCGCAGGCCAACCTGGCCATGGAGGACCAGGCGCAGGTGCTGGCCTCCCCGGCCGCCACGCTCGTCGGCGTCTACGACGGACACGGCGGGGCCGACGCCTCCCGGTTCCTCCGATCCCGACTCTTCCCCCATGTCCAACGTGCGTTTGATTGCTGTTTACTGGTATCCGCCTTCTCCTTTCTGTGCCTTGATCGTTCCTGGCTGATTCTGAGAGTTTCATGTGGCAGGCTTCGCAAGGGAGCAGGGGGGCATGAGCGCGGAGGCGATTCGGAGCGCGTTCGGCGCAGCCGAGGAGGAGTTCCATAAGCAGGTGAGGCAGGAGTGGACGAAGCGGCCGCGGCTGGCTGCTGTGGGCTCATGCTGCCTGCTCGGGGCCATCTCCGGGGACACGCTGTACGTGGCCAACGTCGGTGACTCCCGCGCCGTGCTCGGCCGTCGAGTGGTCGGCGGCGGGGTCGCTGTCGCCGAGAGGCTGTCCACCGAGCACAACGCGGCGTCCGAGGAGGTGCGGCATGAGCTCGCCGCGCTCAACCCCGACGACGCGCAAATCGTTGTGCACGCCAGAGGGGCGTGGAGGGTGAAGGGGATAATTCAGGTGAGAACGCGATCAGTTAGCCGTCTCATTCTATTGATTTGGTGCGCCTGTGGTGGAATTTGGGGAAAATATCTCTGCTTGGCTGCTTGTTTATTAAAAACTGTATCTTTCTTTGATTGCATCTTGGTGTGTCAGCGTTAGAATTTGGAGTAGTTTGTTTGCGAGTTAATATATTACGCGGTGGCATTATAAGTCTGTAACAAAATTATATTATACTGCTAGTTCCCTGATTTGTACTCCAGTGTCAAGAAATTATGCCCCAGCGTAGATTGCTATGCTTTTGATGATCTATGCTATGACTGGTTAAATATTACAGTATTACAGAAATGGAACTAACACAAAGGTTTTACTAGTATATACAGTAGGACTTAAAAGCTGTTCGATCATACTGAAGATTTTTTCTAACCACTCTAAGAAAGAACACTCCACCTTTTGACTTTTCCTATCTTGATATCACTATTATGCTAAATATCTTTTCAGACTTTAGTTGTGTACAACGTAGTATGCACAACTTAGCATAGTATCCTGGGACAGTAACCTGCACGTGAGCTACTTTATATATCTGACCTAACTTATGAATTTCTACACATTATTTGATCAACTTATGTATCGTATCTTTTCGTTGCGTATCTTCCGATCGATATTCTCCAAATATCTTTTCAGTTATTACAACTTAGCTTAGCATCCTGATCTTGCAACTTCTGCACGTGGTCTGCGTCTTTGTGTTGCAAGCTGCTCTATGTATCTTTGGCGAACTATTGTACCTGGCCAAGTGGCCAACACTTCTGAATGTGATATGTGAAGTTTCACGTAAGTAGAAGTAAGCTAACATGTGAATGTTGTAATGTCAGGTGTCAAGATCCATTGGTGATTTTTATCTGAAGAAACCGGAGTATAGCTTGGACCCCTTGTTTCGGCAAGTTGGCGCCCCTATTCCATTGAAGAGGCCTGCTCTTAGTGCTGAACCATCAGTTCAAGTACGCAAGCTGAAACCAAATGACCTATTTCTGATATTTGCTTCGGATGGTCTATGGGAGCACCTCAGCGACGATGATGCGGTGCAAATTGTCTTCAAGAATCCGAGAACTGTAAGTGATCCTCATTGGTCATTTCATTATAAGGTCTTTGTCTATGCTTACATCCTTTGCAGTCTAACTAATTAAGTCTTCACAACCTTTTTCAGGGGATAGCCAACAGATTGGTGAAGGCTGCCTTGAAGGAAGCAACCAGGAAGAGGGAGGTCAGGTACCGTGACCTGAGGACGATCGACAGGGGAGTGAGACGGCATTTCCATGACGACATCAGCGTCGTTGTGGTCTACCTTGATCGCCACCGCGAGCGCCGCCACACCAGGGTCATCGACTCGAGTAGCAACTGCACCAGTGCACCCGTGGACATCTACTCCAACACCCACCAGTCTGCGAAGCCATTGCACGCTTATAAGAGCTGAACTCTGGGTAGAGGACTGTTGGGTTGTCTTGCAAGTTAGGCTCTCTCTAGCCTGGGTAACGGTGGAGTTGCAGAGCAGGGGGACGACTCACTGCAGTGCCATTGCCATCGGAAGAACTCGAGATGTACATAGATAGCGTGGGGTGCGTAGCATTTTGATGCCGGAGAATATCATTTGGTCTCGAACTACGTAGATAATTGGTTAATCACAGCATTTTCTTGTTTCTGTTTTGTCTGATTATGCTTAACCAGCAGTAAGCCCGTCCATTGAATCGGATCGGACTTAATTTAAGGGATCTGTAATACAGGGGTGTCATGAAATAGTTTGATGACGAACTGGAGGTCAGTGAAAACATAATTGGTCATAGGAGTTCCTTTGTCTCTAAAATACATATAAAAGAACAGTCATTCAAACAGTGGTTATGTCTTACTTATCAGCCTTTGTTGGTGTTGCCAAGAACAGTCATTCAAACAGTGGTTATGTCTTACTTATCAGCCTTTGTTGGTGTTGCCTTCCTCACCTTACGAGCTAGCTGTTTCTTTCTTGGGGTTATTTTTTTGGCTGGTTGCACTGCTGTAGCTTCATCTGCAGGTACTATCTCCAGTGGCACTGGTTCATTCAAGTCCAGCCTCCTGCAAATGAATAACTAGTTAGTTGCTTGTGCATCTCATAGTACATTAGTGGCTGGTTGATGTAAATGAAAGCAACAAACCTTTTGCTGCCTGGTGCTTTTGCACAGCTTGGCCTGCAGCTCCTTCATGTGCTTGCTTAGGTGCTGCTGCTCTGGTTCTTGATGTCCTTGCAGGTTCCTTTGTTGCTACCTCTTCCTCCTTAGTTGTTTCTTTGTCAGTAGTTTTCTTCTTCGTCCTTGTAGTCTTTGTTGTTGCTGCCTTAGTGATGGGAGGCGATGTTTCCTCTTCCACCTTTGCTGGTTCATCCTCACTAGGCTTCTGCTTCTTCCTTCCAGACTTAGTGGTTGTTTTCTTGGTCCTCTTCCTATACATGATGTGTTAGTAACTTAGATAGATTAGTGTAACAATAACCGATGAAATTGCAAAAGAAACATACCTTTTTTTGTGTGCCTGTTAGTGGACACCTTCAGCTGGTGGCTCTGTGGCCAAGCTCACCACAACTTTTACATGTCACTTGCCTTGTTGCTTTCCCTGTCCTCTCTAAATAGCTGAGAATCCTATTCTTCCTTTGTCTCCTAGGTCCTTTCTTTTTCTTGGCCACTTGTGGAAATACTTTGAAGCCCTTGTCAACTGCAGGCCATTGTTGCTTGTCAGTTATGCTGGGTATCACAAGTGCATAAGCTGCATGTAACTTCTTCACTGAGTAGTACCCATTGACATACTTTTTCATGTCTGGCTGCCTTTCAGTGGTGATCACAATAAGGGCATGTGGGCAGGGCTTGCCACTGACCTGCCACTCCCTACATGTACACTCCTGCAGATCTAGGTAGACAACATGCCTTCTGATCTCCTCACCCTTGTACATCACAGTCACTTTAGCTTCTTGGGGGTTCCCTTTAGTCACCTGGAGATGATCTAGTCCCTTACTGGTAGCATTTAGCTGGTGAATGACAGCAGGAAGGATGACACCAGTCAAAGCTAGTGAGATCTTCCTTCTTTTCTCAAACAAGACCATTATCTTGATCCTAATTGCGTCTGCAAGGGAGTCCAGTAGCAGGTCTTTGAGCTGTTTGATCAAGCATTCCAACACTCAGCAAGATTATTGTTTATGTAGTCACACTTAATGTCTGCTGAGAACTTGCTTCTAGCTCAGAGTAACTTGTGATGCTCATTTAGCCAAGGTAAGATGTCTACTGAACCCGCAACAACCTTGGCCATGAGCCTCTCATACTTCTCCTCTGTGTAAGCTCTAGCTGCTGGCCACATGTATTGACCCAACAATGAACCACTGGCCTGCCCTTGAGAAAACCTTTTCTTCATGTTGTCCATCAAATGCCTAAAGCATTCCCTCTGCTCTGCCCTTGGGAATACTTGTTTAACTGCAGCCTCTAGACCCTTGCAGGCATCTGTGCACACATCTAGTTTGTCTAATGGACCAAGTGCCTTGCCTAACTGCTCCATGAACCAAATTCAGTTCTCTTTGGTCTCAGAATCAAAGAAACCAAATGCTATTGAGAACATCCAATTGTGCCCATCTATAACATTGGCTGCAGGCATGTGTCCATTCCACTGCCCATTGAGAGCAGTGGAATCTATACTAATGTATGGCCTGCAGCCCTCTAGGAAGCCATCTATACTTCCCTTGAATGCACAGAAAAATCTACTGAAATGAACCTTCTTGCCTACTTTTACAGTGTCTATCTCAACAACACTACCTGGGACCTAAGCTCTATCTCTGCTTTGAATTTGAATAACCAATCAAATGAATCGTCCCACTTACCAAAAAGCTTATCTACAGCCCTCTGCCTACCATACCAGTAAATCTGGTAATTTATGTTGATCTTGTATTTCTTCTCAAGTTCTTCTTTGAGCTCCTTTGCCCCCATCCGAGGCTTGTCTTTAAGCAGAGGCACTGCTCTCTCTGCAATCCATGCCTAGGATGCCATCCTATTCAAAATTATCCTTCTTGAGGCACAAGTATGCACATTAGTGTTTATTTGTATATGCAAACAAACAAACAAGCCAACATTAGACTATATTTATGAACTAAGTTTCATACAAACCACAGAACAGCAGGTTAAACTAGATAAAAACAGTGACATGTTCTAGAACAAAAATTAGTTAGTAATATATACGCTGACACTGTTATCTATCTGAGTTCTAGCTCTAATAATCCACTTGCATCCTTTTGATTTGCAAAATCCTCTAAACCTTTCAGGATTAGATTTCTCAGTGCCCAACTCAAACTCTTTGACTATAGCATGTTGCTTAACTGCCAATCTGAATTCAGACATTGATGGATACAGTGTGCCTACAGACATGTCAGGATTGTCTCTATCATAGAAAAACAAGGGCTCAGTTGCTTCATTGTCATCAACAGGGATAGCTGCTGCTTCCATTTCTTCTTCCATCTCAGGAGGAATCTTTGGCACTGTAATCTCTAGTGGACCCTCATCTGCAGCATTGAAGCCCATGGCTTCATAGATTTGTTCCTCATCCACTAAAACAGTAGCATCCCCATCTAAGTTTTCCTCATGTAATATTGTGAAAGCTGACCAATCAATAACAACAACATCTGATTTTGTATGCTCTAGACTGCTACAAGCATCATCTGTGCATTCAACATTTCCTTGCTCTACTGTTACACCGGATGTGGCATGAACACTATGCTCATTTGGCACATTTCCTGCTGCTGCATCTCTGTTCTGTCTGGATGACACCTTATCCTTGTCAAGTACTTCACAGCTGACATCCATTTCCTTCTCATCCCATCTAGCTTCTATCATCTCCCTAAACCGCTCATCAGTAGTAACATCCCATTCTATCCCACTCTCCTTGTCTAGACCCTAAACAAATAGTTGCTGCCCACTACCTCAAATGATCTTTCCAGCCATTTCATCCACAAATTTTGACAGAGAGCAGTGATTGGTAAGATCAATCCAAACATCATGCTCTTGGTCATCCATTTCGACAGATCAATAATCAACATTGGATGTATACTTAGCAACGCTAACATGGATTTTAAACGCATTGCTAGGATCAATCCTGACAATAATCATAAACAAATAAAGAAACATGTGGAGTTAGGAAACATAACTCCAAAACACTACGGGATCCCAAAAACTACACCAAACACTACAGCACATCGAACTTACCAAGGAGGGCAGTCAGTCCACTTCATCTTAACGCATATGATCAACAACAAGGGCTACCGCAACGTCACTACAATCAAATGGACCACCAATCAAATCAAAACCCTAGATTGGGGAACGCAACTGGGGAAATAGGGTTTAGGGGAGTGCGAGCAGTACCTAATATGGTCGTCCTGCATCCAAGGAAGGAGAAGGAGACTCGATGCCGCCGCCGCCGCGTCCGCCACAGCCGCCGTCGCCATCGCTAGGAGTGGGGAAGAAGGGGGAGTGGACTAGGTTGGACTTGGGGCTGGGCCGGCTAGAGACAGAAGAAGGAGGTGAGGGTAGCATTGTCATTTCACGTGCCAAGTTAGGGCTCCTAGGCTCCCTACCACGTTGGCGTGCCACCTCAGCAAAATGCAAAAACGTACGAGGGTTACTGGTTGTGATGGCAAATGTGTAGGGACACGCACAAAGCTGACAAACGAAGGAGTGCCATCCATAAGGATGGCAAAAAGTTAAAAATCCCCTATTTCACATACCCCAACTCTAAAAGGCCAAAACCCCAAACCCTCGTTGCCCAATCCCCATCGCCATTATTCGAACCCAAGCTAAGCCCCAGGGGTCCGACCACAGAGCCAAGCCCAAAATGGCGGTCGCCGCCTCCATGCTCACCACTATGTCACTCTCCTTCTCCCCGCTCCTAGCCCCACGCCTCCGCGCCGCCGCCTCCTTCGTTCCATCGCGCCGCTCAGTGGTCGTCTCATCCAAGTCCCCGGCCATGGCGGAGGCGGCCCCGAAAAAGAAGAGGGCGACTGGTATCACCCAGCCGAAGCCCGTGTCGCCGGCGCTGCAGGCAATCGTGGGTGAACCGGTTATCCCCCGCACCGAGGCCCTCAAGTGCCTCTAGGCCTACATCAAGGTGATAGGTTTATAGGACCATCTAGGCGTAGATCAATGGGTAAAAATATAACTTAGATAAAGGGACTTGCTGATATACCTCACCAAAAGGCAGTCGCGGTGGTGGCACCGCCAACAAGCTGGCCGCGACGTGTCGGTGATAAGGTCGGCGATGGGGTATGCCGTTGCGATAGTCCTAATACCCCATTTTCTTCTATCTCGGTGAATTTTGATTCCTAGAACCAATGACGCTTCACCAAGATCATTCACATTGAAACTTGAGGACAAAACATCTTCTCTAATGACATATTAACATCACTACTAGTGAGTAGAATGTCATCTATTCACAGGATGTGGAAAATGAATTTTCCATTCTTGAACTTCGCATAAATGCTATTGTCCTTCTTATTTTCTTTAAAACCCAAACTTTCTTATTGTTTTCATCAACTTTAAATACTACTGTCTAGAGACTTACTTTTAACCCATAAATTGATTTCTACAGGCGGCATCCCATACATTTTCTTCTTCCACGACAAAACCTTTGGGTTGTGCCATGTTAACATTTTCATATAAATTCCCGTTGAGGAATGTTGTCTTTACATCCATCTGATATAACTCTAAATCATAATGTGCCAATAACACCATTATGATTCTAAAAGAATCCTTGCATGAGACTGAAGAGAAAACTCTCATCGTAATCTATCCATTCTCTTTGCGTAAAGCATTTTGCTAAAAGTCATGCTTTATATCTTTCTACATTTTCTTTGGAGTCACGTTTTGTGTTATAGACCCTTTTACAATCTACTATTTTTGCTCCATTAGGACTTTCTTCTAAGTCTTAAACATCATTGGTATTCATCGAATTTATTTCAACTTCCATAGCTTCTTGCCATATAAACGAGTAAACGCTTCTCATGGTTTTTTCAAATGAGGAGGGATCACCCTCCATTTGAATTTCTTCGCTAACATAGAATTCATAGTCATCAGAAAAACTGGTTTACTAATTCTTTGAGACCTTCTGAGACCTCAGCTACTGACACTTTCATATGGGGCTGTTGTTGCTCTTCATTGCCAAGAGGCAATTGATTCTACAGGCTCCTATATTACAAGATCTTTGTTTACATTATTCATCTTCTTCGAAGAGCTAACAACAGGTGTTGTATAAGTCATACAACATCAACAAGTATTGAGAAACTTATTTTTTTGAATCACTGAAGTGGGCACGTAGTCCCGCTTCTCTTCAAGTCATAGATCTCTACATACCATGCTCCCCCAGACCATCCTATCTTCTAAAAAAGATAGTGTACCTTCAAATTTCTTGTTTGAGTTTAATCTGTTAAAACCTCATATGACGCTTTAAGCACCGCCTTAACATCTTTGAGATTGACTACGCTATTTTCCTGTCGGAACTTTAAAAGGTACAGAAATTTAGCTATTTCTCTGCTTAGGGGTATCATTGTTGTGACCGTTGTACTCCTCCAACAGTCGCATTCATCTTAATTAATCTTTATCTCAGTCTTAATGAAGAGTATCTTTCTTAATTGATCTTTATCTCACTCTTAATGAAGAGTATTTTTCTCAATTGATCTTAATATTCTCCCCCTCGAAATATGGCATGAACTTTACTGCCATAATTTTGAGAACTATTCAGAGAACATGTGAACAAGGAGACAATTATAACCTACTTCATTCACATGATTATGTCATGTAAACAAAGTTATTTCTTCATCTGTTTAGGAGTACACTTTCCTTATTTCATTTTAAAAACTCAACGAGCTATTTCAATAGCAGTTCTTTTGCAAGTCACGTTTGCATCTTTTCTTATCTTTTGGTTAGTATTGACCATGACGTTGCATTTCTATTGCGCCACGGTCAATACTAGGACATCATACAAAAATATATGAGTCATCACAAAACTTCTCCCGCCATGTAGGATTGACTAGCATAAGTACTATGCCAAACTTCTCCCCATGCGGGATGTATCTATATACAAATTACCGTAATAAAAAAATTAGTCATGATAACTAAAACATTTACTTATACTTCATTTTCCAATTAAATCTTTTCGTTGGTTCCAATTTAATCAGAAAATTAGTAAACTAACAAAAAAACTGTCCTGAACTCGACTCAAGCCTTTTCATTCACATACCCCAGCATTACAGCCCGTTGGCATGCAGCCGAGTGATCTCGTCGGATTAAAACATACAAGGTACTTCTGCATCAATTCTACATCACTGTTGGACAGAAAATAGAATTAATGCATAAAACTCATAAGTTAACTTGAAAGACATATAACTACTCTTCAAAATTAAATTCTTCCGCCGGTTCAAATTTTATTAGAAGATAATCAACATTATTGCAGCAAAACACGAATAAAATACATTCTATTAGTTCAGGAGCATTTCTTGGTCTTTACCTACTCTCTGAAAAATTGACCACGTTGATGTAAAATTTATCAGATATTTAAACCTCAAACTTGAATTCATTATAATATTGTCATCATCGACGTTGGTTAGAAAATGACAATACCATAATCTGACTTAAACAAAACGGACTACTCCTTTAATTTAAATTTCCCGTTAGTTCCAATTTAATTAGAGAATAAACATAATCATAATTTACTAAATATAACTGCTCTTAAAATTAAATTCTCCCGTTCGTTCGAATTTAATTAGAAGATAATCAACATTAAACTTTGCAGCGAAAATATGAAAAAATAATTTATCTACTTTTCAGAAGCATTTTACTGTACTCATCTACTCTCTGAAAAAATTATCACGTTGGTTCAAATTTTGATAGAGATTTAAACTGGCAAAAAAACATCAAAAATTTGCTTATGAAAATAATAAAACAAAACCTCAGTATTTACTGTTCATTTGGGCCGAAAACATGAAAATCCAATCACGGCCTAGCTCGCCAGCGCGCCCGCGCGTGGCCCTGCGGCCTACGTCGGCCCAACGGCCTGCTTATCTCGTCCGCTCACCAGCGCGCTCGGCCCAGCTTGCTCCCGTGCACTACTGTCGGCGGTGGCTCGCGCTGCGCTCCCCCGCGTCCCAAGCCGCAACCTGGGCCTGGGCCTGGGCCTGGGCCGGGATTTCCTCAACCGCCTGGGCTAAAAGAAGCCCGAGCGCCCGGAGCCGTTGATCCTGATCCGACGAACGTCTGTCATTCTCGCGAGATCAAAACCACCCGCCACGGCGCGTCACCGAAACCCTAATTTCATTTCTTCCTTTCCTCTCTCGTCTGCTCTCCTCAGCCGTGGCACCCAGCTTTCTCTCCGCTTCTCAAAACAATGACGGGCGGATATGGCAGCACCGTCGCCGGTCCCCTCGCCGGTGCGTGTGCCCACTGTAGGGTGAGCATGCCTTCGTCGAGCGGTCTAGCGACGGCACCCTGAGCGCGTGTGCATGGCTCCCCGAAACCCTAGAGCTCATTCTTTCCTCTGCTTCTCTCTCTTCGCCGTGCTGCACACCACGGCTGCCGCAGTAGACTACTCCGGGATGGGCGCAACGAAGGAGATGGCGCCGCCGTGGCACCCCTCGTCGGCGCACGTGTGCCGCCAGAGTCACGCGCGATGCCGTCGAGCGGCACCACGGTGGTGCCCTTTGGGGCCCTACGCAACGGCGGATCTCTTCCCGCACGATGGCGGTAAGGAGACCAAGTATGTAACACCCCTGGTGTTATGCTTGCATAATTGCACTTGCATTTCATGAACATGAGCATTATTCATCCATTCATGAGCATATATCACATGAAACATGTTGTCGAAGCATTGCAACATACTGTATATTTCATTAGTGTTGTTTTTATGAAATGAATAGTGTGTAACACCCAAGTGCAACATGTGCAACTCACTTTAGTGGAACCTAGCTAGTTAGTATGATCCAACAAGATCATGAAACAGGTGAAACATGACTATGAAAGAAAAGTAATATTTCAATTGTTTTTCATCGTTTCAGTACATTCAGTGCTTGATTCTTGTGTGACCAATGTGTGGTATGGCTATATATATTTTTAAACACCTTAGCTATGCTTAGAAAATCACTTAGGAACAATGTTCATGTTGACCATTTTGCCTAATTAAGTTTTCAAATAGTGGTTTGACTTGTTTCGACTCCTAAACTCCTTGGTTTGACTGTTTAAAAAGTGTAGCATAGAGTGTTTACCTGTCTGAGCAACCTAAAGCAAAGTTGTAGCAAATTTTATAAGGATCAAAAGTTGTTTTATGACCAACTCATGAAAATATGCACAACATGCTCTAAATGGTCCCACAAGTCAGATTTGTGGTGCTGACTCAACACTTAGAATTTTCTAAGTCAGAAATCAAATTCCAGTTTCAAGTACTCAACTTTGGCTTGATATAACTTGTGATCCAGTGAGAATTAGGTCTTGGTCCTTTAACATGATTTGTAGCTGGTATTTAGAGCTATAAATTTCATTTATACTGTTTTCGCTAAGGATCAACGGATTAGGAGATAGAGCATCACCAATTGGCCCTGTCAGTCAGCTCTTTGTTCACTGAATCGCAGCTACAGTACCCGACCGGTTCACAAGAACACCGCCGCGTGGATGCCACGCGTCGCCGGTCTTCTGCTTGCGCAGGCCATGCGCCGCGGCCGTCCTGGCACCGCTGGCCTCGCCTTAATCTCCCGCGCGCTTGCCCGACCAGTTCACCCACTCATTTTCCATCTCCTTCGCCTTCTCCGCTCGCTCGCAGCAGCCGCAGCAACTCTGGCGAGCTCACTCTTGCTCGCCGTCACAAAAACGCTCACTACATCTTCATCACAGCTCCGCTGTGTTCTCCTCTACCTCCTCCACCCCTAGGCTGCACCGATTGGGTCTCGGTAAGGGCACATTGGCCGTTTTTCCGCCACCGTTTCCATGGCCGCACCTCGCCAGAGCGGACCTCACCGCGGCCAACCACCACCGAGCCCTTCTCGTCTTCCTTTCTCTACGTAGTTAGCTCCGTGGTGACCCCGTGTAGCTCGTACCAGGCTCGGAAGGGGCATT